CATGTGCGTGTTTGATGCCTAACGCCGACTAACTAATTTCAGTGAGCGAACCTCGCAGTTCCCGGTGTCTCTTCCGGAGCTTTGCAATAACAATCCGATCCCATCGATATTATTGATAATAACTAAGGGGATACGGTAGAGGCTAAATTGGTCATATTCTGTTCCAGAGAGGCACCTCGGTGCGACGCTACTGATCATCTATTCAATACCAGCGTATGTGCTTTGGAACCTGGTGTGGTTCCGATGGCTCGGGTTCTTCGATAGATCTCTATGCGCATGAGCAAGGGAAGCCCGCCACATCGCGGTTTGTGTGACTGGACACCTCAGGGATCAAGTTTTGGGGACCATGGAGCTGGGGAAATATCCTCTCTGCTTTCTACTGTAGGGGCAGGGCAGGCCTTCAGTCAGTAATCCCCTGTGTGCCCCCCTTTGGCTCTGGCTCTCCCTTGTCATACTATGTGCAAAGCTCAAGCAGGAAGGATGAGTGAGGGGAAATTTTCAGGGGAGGGGTGGTCGGTGTGTCGTGCTGCAGCACCAAGGGTGACAGGGAGTTTGAGTAGTGTACATGGAGGAAGCCCCAGGTAGCCTGCGGGGGTTACATTGGTGATGAATTTTTGAGGAGGGCTTATTGTCTTGCATCAGCAAGGTACGGTACCAAACCATGATGACGCTTGTTGGAGCTTCAATTCAGGTTATCCTGAGTTCATTCATGAAGTACAATGTAATGATATACTTGGTTTTCTGTGAACCATCTGATAATACTAGAATCTTAATTATATGAATGCTTTTGGAACTCATAGCGAACTTATAGTATTCACCTTGCCTCGTAAGCCTCCAGTTGCCTTGCCAAAGTTACATATTACTCAAGATGTTTATTTATAATAAGAAACCCATCATTAGCCATAATATCAAGATTTCCATTTACATAGTTCGCCTCTTGGACGTTATTCTAGTTAAAATTGCGTAAAATATAGTGATAGGGTTCTTGTTCATATACACTTAAGCCTTGCTGATAGTCTATGTATTGTGATGTTAGCAAGTTCATCATGTTCTTCTGCAGCCTCGCCTTAATTTTAGGCACCCACAGCATCGATAGGTTCCTAGAAGCACGTTGAGCAAAATTTATCATTTCAAGTGTCTGCGCTCAGGAGCTATGTCTGATCACGGCAGCTTCATTAATCAGGTAAGGGTCTTTGATAGCCAGGTTTAGGGATGAACATATGACTTGCAACTCAGATGGTGAGAGACCTTCATCCTACGAGTACGTGAGCTACCAATAAGTCATCTAGGCATATAACCACATCGTAATCCATAGTTATGATTATTATTTAAAGGAGATGCTTGATGTTATGAGTTACCAATCATAGTCATCATCTGTGTTTTTAGGGTTTAACTGCTCCGGGTTATCTGTCATTGGCTCTGAACGTATTACTTTACATCTAGAAATGAGATGTTACAATAATATGCATTGTTCTTCTTCTTATATCTCTCAAATATAATGAATAATATAGAGTAACGAAGTTGTCACCTCCTTGAAAATTTATCAACCTATGACAACACATGCCTAATCATAATAGCTCTCTGGCTGTTGAGTGATAGAATTCACAACACTGGGTAGAACTAAGAGGTACCTGTTTGAAGCACGATATTGTTTTCATTTTGAAAAGAATATAACCAAGTTTACACGCAGTAGCAACTTCCTATAGCTTGAAGTCCATGAGGGCACTGTCATGCATATCTTAATCGCGCAAGTAAAGGGACTATCGAAATCAAGCTTCCATTCCTTGGGGCAGCAAAACAACCGGACCACCAGAGTCAACCATGTAGGACTTGCCAACTATGGATAAGAAAAACATATGCCGAATTCTATTGTTACGCTTCGCGCCTAAAACCCCTATTCATGTCACGCGAGCGAATGTATACAACAGTTAGTTCCAACTTGAGAAATCTCTGGATCTACGGGAGAGCAAAGAAGCAATGGTGTTGTGAAAGTGTTTCGCCCAGCATATATTAGTTCTCTACTCTGAGCAGAGCAATATTCTTATACTAGGTCTCATCAAATCTATCGCAAAGTGAAGACATTGTAGTCAGAGTCATTGTCTTGTACTCCTACTCACTTGGGCTAGAAACCTTTGCTTGTTGCGGATAACTTGAATGAAATAAGTCATGGGAGCTTTATATATCGGTGATCTCCCAAGCTAATATGCTAGAAGATCACTGGAATTCTGATATCATGTGTTATCAAAGTCTCATAGTGTCATGAGGCTATGGGGCACCTACAAGGCTGTAACAAAGAAGACCCCTCCTGTATATAGCTTCAGCCTTGCCCACAAGAAGGTTGGAGGGACCCTTACGCAACAATAGAAGTCATTAGCCAATATACCAGGTCCTAACACATAGTGTAATCTATATTGCCCGGGCTTCATCTGTGTTCTTACGGTATCCTTATCTCCTCCTCCAGTTCACAGGCTTCACTTCTCTGTCTGCGAGACTGGAAATGAGTAGTGTAGGTGACACGACATCAGCGTGATAGACTAGGCTTCGTGAAGCCAAAAGATGTAGATAGCCTTCCCCTAAGCATGAAGGCTTCGAAGAAACCCCCATACTGTTGTGACTGTCATCTGGTACTCTTGTGGTTGCAATCTTGACACCAAAACAGCTTCGATTTGGCGACAGCTAACCCGAGGCTTGTGATAGCGGCTAACATCTCAGTGTAGCCTTCACTATTGATATAACGCGCTTCGTGAACTTGAAGAGTTTCTGATCTATTGACTCCCTTATGATGGACCTTGGCACTTTCGTTCGTAGTTGAACGTGTCTAGTTACTATCAGAGATTTCCAGGCCCATTTTCAAATACACTAGAGATCTCACACACTTCTCCCGATACTCCGTGTGTCCTAGTAATGATCAATCAGAGGTAATTATGCTATGAGTTAAAAAGAAGCATGAACATGGACCGTCTTAGGAGGTCTTGCCAGTGTCTATGAGCATGGAGATACCATCATTTAAGATCCAAGGTCACTGCATACTCACGAATCATTACATGGGTGAACGAAAATTTCATCTACTATCGACGTCACGAGGAGATATCCATGGAATGCGTTTGCGTCTGTTAACTGTTCTTGCATGTCATATATAGCAGTACCCATCAAGCACGTGGAGTGGAAGATTATTTCTACGATGTCTTATCGGAGATAGGTACTGCATGAACCGTGCAATGCTACCAAATCTCGTTGTCCAGGCCCACTGAGGTCTATCCAGGGAATACTCGGCAGGCATCGTTTGCGCAGGGCTATCAAAACCCCACGAGCATGGCGTGAAAGTGGGCTTCAATAGCGTACTAAACCCTTCACCGACTGTTCTGTCATCGACGTATGTCCGAGCGCGATGGCCATAGTAAAGAGAGTCAACGTCAAGTCAAAGAAGCCGCCTGACATGATTAAAGTAAGCGCTTAGATGATCAGACCTGTCACTGTCACAGGATAGAGGGACAGTTAGGGAACGTTACCGGTGTTTGGAATGGTACGGCAATGAAGTCATTGATGGTTGGGCATACATGATCTACAGTGTGATGCAGCATGGGGCCACTCAAGTTGAAGCTGTGAGGGTTCCTTCAAACAACGTGTCGATCTGTGCATATACCAAGTTGAAATCACCCACTAGGTTCGGCACGCCGCACGTGTCGGCAAATTTCAGTCAGATAGCGTTCTCTCTCTTCCACCGACATTCATCCACCAACATTCGTGCTCCGAGTGCGCTGCTTTTGCGAGTTCCGAGTTCGTGATATCGTTTTACTGAGTACTATGTAGATATTGGATAACTCGGCCTTAATCCCGGCTCATGGTGAGCCCTAGTAGTAGTTACCGGGCGATCTGCTGCAGTCTCTTCTGGGTTGAGAAATAGGCCGGGCCAGTAGCACCGAGGTTCATGCCGGCTGGGGAACGCTTGAAGGAGTGTGACGTCTTGGCCCGGCCTACCTAGTGTGAAATGATTGATCGGGGTCAATGGTCTCTGCTCTGACTGGGGAAAGGTACGATATTGCATTGTCCTCGTGCTGGAGACCCGCGCGCGCGCGACAGGCATCAGGGGTAGGAATCCCATGTTTCTACATACACTAGTACTGTAGTGTACGGCGGCTTCCGGTACATGCCCCCCTTGTCACAGATTTCAGAATCAGTCAATCCCTCCTGGTCCCGGTATCTACATTAGGTAGCCCTATTCCCTATTCCACGGGCAGACACGGGGTTGACGGAGCGGAATCAACTAAGGATTACAGTAGCGCCTTTACTAAGGAAGTAAGTGTAATAGCTGGCTTGTCTATACAGTAGTGGTGGAAGTACGCTCGTCCTCGGAATTGCCGAGTCATTTCTACTGTGTGTCCTCTCAGTTTGTTCTGTTCATGCTAGCTAGTCTTTCTCATATGTTTGACAGGCTTGGGTTCAGAGCTGAGTTCGCCCTGTCCCAGTCAGTGGTGGTGAGCTGACGAGTTTTGGCTCTTGGCATCCATTTCTTGTCGCCTCTGTGATTCAGGAGTACACGTGTAAGCGGGCAGGGGTTCTCTGTGGCGTTCGTAGCGGAGAAGACTGTTGTAGTGTAGATTCTCTAGCGTAATGTGGGATAACTGTGCTTGATTTCCCAGAATTCTTTCTCGTGACTAATCGTGATCAGCTACCTACAGTACCTACCCGGGCGATCAGTCCAAACACCATCTGACTGGCTTGTCGCGACGACGTGAGCACGTCGTGATGTGACACACAGAGCGCGCTAGAGCTTTGTTGACTCCATAGCCCTCTCCCTCGCCTCAGTCCTCACGAGACTTTCAGATCTGCGTAAGACTCGACCTGGCTGAGCTGATACCATTTGCTCTCTTTGCCTACATTTAGTTGCCTCATTACCTGTCTGCCGGTCTATCTATTTATCCACTTATCACGTCTTGGCCGGGTTGGCATTGCCTCGTCCACCGTCATTGAGGGGCTCTTTGCCCCAAAGGCGATGAAAAATGCAGTCTCCCGTAACTCGCTTAGAAGCCGATGGGACCACGGAACACGGTCAGGTCCGGTATGCGAAGCCGTCGGAATGGGCTGCCCACAAAGACAAGATCAAGAGGCTGTATTTGGACGAGAACAAAACCCTTGACGAGGTGAGGCGCATCATGGCAGATGAATGCCAATTTCATGCGACGTAAGCTTCATCCCAGTGAGACCCCAATATAACACCGTAGTCGGATGGCTGATCAAGTGCAGGCCTAGTATGGTGAGTCCATGCATTAAGACGCGCTCTTGAATGCATTGTAGTGTCTGCACCTATTTCCAGTCATGTTTTACATTGCTCATAATTTGTCGCTCAACAAATGAGAACCCGTGAATTAATTTAGTGGGACAGTATAAGAAGCGCATAAGAACCTGGCACCTTTCGAAGAAGCTAGAAGAAGAAGATGTTTTGGAAGTACTTCAACAAAAGCTGGAAAGAAAAGCAGCGGGAGAGCCCACACAGAACCTTGTGATCCGGGGGCGGGTAGTGAGAAACCAACGCCTCAGACGGTTCCTCGAGCGGCGGCCAGATGTCCTTACGCGGCTTCAAGGCCATCCAAACTCGGCCGCGGCTACAGGCTCTCCTGCGTCGTCTTACGGGACGCCAATTCAAGTCCCTAGAGTACGCCCGTTATCGCCAGAGTCTCGTAACATGGAACGGACCCTCTCAGCAGGTAAGCAGAGGGTCACATGATGACATACCACCACCCGCCCACCTCCACAGCACAGTCTGCGCTCTTACACTACATACAAGGAGATCATTAATCGAATAGATCGAACTGGGCTAACCCTGAATTCTGTAGTACGTGATTATGTCCGGAGCCCCCTGTGGATCGCCGATCAGGGTCGTACTTTTCAAAACATAACAGTAATAGATATGAGAAAATCAAGGGCCAATATGCTCCAAGCCGTTGATGAGTTCTACTGGCTGCAGGCTTCCATCGACAATGACAAGCCACCCAAGGTAGTCTTTCAGCTCGTGAATTCTGCGTTGAACCGCCTCAATGATGCCATGAGGGCACAGCTACCAGACTTCTTCTTTCAGATGCTCGAAATTCTTCAGCACCCGTGGTCAAATCATAGTGAGCTGTCGCATATATTTCGACGACACGTGGCAGAGCTTGCCGTTGCGCACCTGGGTAGGAACCACCCCATGTCTATCTTATGGATACACCTCTTAAGGGAGAAGCACGATGTCAACGTCAACAGCATTACTGAGGATGTCCTGGAGCTTTTGCTCCAAGAACTTCTCATCGCCAAGGGCCCACAGGACCACCTAACCTGCATGGCGCTCGACTACTTACTCCGGTTCTTGATACATACCGAAGGTGCGTACCCGTCATGGGTACGATTCAAACGCTGGTTGGATACATATCCTGGATGGGACGATGCGATAGAGTGGCAAAGCTATGTGCAGTCGACAATAGAAGCACAAAACGTGGAAACCTCCAACGTGTCCTCGGTTATACAACATCCCCAAGTCGGCAGTGCCCGCCGTTTGACATCGGCCGCTGTAGAATATGAGCGGCCTAGTGGTCATACTGTTGGGGACCTCCACTCCGGATATCTCCTGCCGTACTTGGCAGGGAGGATTTCTATTAGAAACGGCGATACCGACCGAGCTGAGGGTCTATTTCTGAAAGCCAAGGCGGTGGCAAGACAAGCTCGCCAACCTCATCTCACCGACTACTACGTCAAGGCCTACACGAATCTCCACGTTCTTTACGTTGCAACAAGACAAGATCAGAAGCTGGAGGAGTTACACAAGGAACTAGCAGAATTCAAGGCTGAAGTGCCGCCGAATATGAAATGGCCGAGGGAGAACCTACCATATCAATGTTTCGACTGCGTCTAGGTCCCGTGCCTGCATGGTATTTTCGCTGCTGTAGCTATCTCCTATGAGAAGCTTGGCTTGGCTTGGCCAGCTATTCGGTTCCTCCGCGCCGACCTATGCACATGAGCAGACTCTACCACGGAAAGGCCGTTGTCGAGTCTTGATCAGAAGGCAGTACACAGCCATCGCTCGTAGATCACCTTGATACATTCGGTGTATATGCAGGGCCAAAGAGAAGTGATGCAGAACCCTTAGTTTCTAGCATTGAATGCATCGAGGGAATGTATGTAAGTGCCTCCTCCTGTCCGATAAACTCCTTGCAAATCTGTCATGGTTGCTCACGGAATTTCAGGAGACGGGTTTGTATATAAAGCGCATGCCCTTACTTGAATAGAGTTAAACGGTCATTATATCTATTTGAGGTCATTTTCACAGTCCCGATAGATAGAGAAGAGGTAGCAAAAGAGAAAAAAAATTTAGATAAATTGAATGCTCTCATTATCCGGTCCCTCGGATCTATACCGATGAGCCTGCAATATCAACCATTCTGAAGAGTTGATAACAACGTAACAACGAGTATGTGGTATGCTGTAAACATCACTCGGCAACGTGAACTCATGTAATCACACGCAATCATCCGACATTGTATACAGCCATCATCGGAAGCAACCCCAGCCAATCTGCATTCCTCCCAATATACATTCTCAACTATATGTACCAGCCAGTGAGTCAGCGAGCGAGCGAACAAGTCAACCGCACGACCCGAAAATGAGACCTACAATCTGCCTTTGTTGCCTAATGCGCATCGCTCCTCATAGAGCACGGAAACACAAGGCACCAGGCACAACATCCGGGCGGACATACATCCACAGCATAATCCTCGTCCCACCCTCTCCTATCCAAGGATCTCATTCCAAGTGAAGCTTATCATTCACCTACATATTCGACATACTAACGCTGTATAACCCTATGGACCTCTATATGTTTCGTACATGCTTCTTCTACCACAACACACCAAGCCGTCACGTCATAAGACGACAACCATCGGAGAAAGGATATACTAGAACACAAAACTACAAGAAACGAGGCTGCGTATCGCCGCGTAAATATCGACTGTGTAAAAACGTATGTTCATAGATATATATAGATAAATATGCACTGATCCACACCCACGTGGCATCCCGGCAATAAAGTTGCTGAAACCTTGCGTCTCCTCGTAACAAACGAATACACAGAGGGTCAATCTAGTCCGCAACTATGTAAAGGATATCATCTTATCCGAGCTCCATCGGTTCAAGAACAAATCTACACTGCAAACTCGGGATACACCGAGTCAGATGTAATTTAAACACCATATTTCTTTCTACATATCGATATAATAAGTTTCGTCCCACGGACAGGTGTATACATGATCTTAGTAAACACTGCTTTTGTCATACATGCTTTGGTATCTCTCTATAAAATTGGGCAATCAGAAGATGTCTCGCAACCATGAATCCAAACACAGAAGAAAAGGGGGAAAAAAAAGCAGCGCCATGAACAAAAGAAAAGGAGTAAGTAAGTTATAGCATTCATTGAGAGAATGAGATAATTCCGCCTTTACCGGCGGTCCTCTGCACTAGATTCGTAATGGCGATGATGATGTTGCGGCTGGCCCGAATGATATTCAATAGTCTTCGGTCGAGTCTCGCTATCGTCGTCATACTTGTGTCGTCTGTGCTTGTCGTCTGCTGCTCGTCCTCTTCGGTATTCTTCTTCTTCCTTCTCTTGGCGGTGTCTATGTCGTCTTTGTCGTTCCTCATCGGAACGGGTTTGCTCTTCGTCCGAGTGACGCTCTTGTCGCGATTCTCTCTCAAACTCCTTCCTTCGCATCTCTGTTTACGCGGTTAGCCTAGTGACTCTATGCAACGCTGGCGCTCTGTCTCTATGACTTGCCTCTTATTTGTGCAGTTGCAGTAGCATAAGCCTGAATCTCCTCTTTATTCAGAACTCGTAGCACAATAACAAAGTCATCGCGGACCTCAAATCGCTCTTTTCCGATAGTGAGAGCTTCGGGGTTGACCTTCTTCCTGCTGATCTTGGTCCATCGGGCCCCGGCTGGGACGTCCTTCTTGGTCTTATCATCTTTGTGTGGCGCCACACCCTCACGAATAGGGTTCGAGTCTTCCGGAAATTTGGCACTAGGTGTCTTAAGGATACCCTTGATTGGTTTGGCTTCGGTCTTGTCTCGTGGAGGAGACACGACGCGTACCTGCTTTTCATCCCGCATGGGAACTACCTCGCGGCCACGAGAATCAGATTCATCCCCTTTATCGGAGCTGTTAGTTCCCGTCGCAGCTCGGGCTGATATCGTCTCTACAGAGGATGGTGCATTTGGTTCATCAGCCTTTTTCGTCCCATTGCTCTGACCATCCATCGCGGCTAATTCAGCCTTCAGGTCAATCAATCCTTTAGTGTCTGTAGGGTCAAAGGCCGAGACCGGCCGTTGTCGCCGTCGTCCAGTGTTGGAAACATCGTCCGGTGAAGCCTCTCGTTTGTCAGATGATCCATTGGGCCTAGCATCGCCGCTGTGTCGTGGACGATCGCGTTGGTCTCTCTCGTCGACGCGGCTACGCTCTCCCTCACGTTCCTTCTCATAGCCGTGATCGCGGTTACGTGGAGATTCACGTTCCGGATCTCGGTCGATGTTGGCAATGACTTCTCGATCCTTAGAGCCTGAAACGGATTCTGCGCGTTCCCGTCGTGGTTCCCTTCGTTGTTCATAAGTGACCGTGTCAGCCCTCGGAGAAGGTTTTCTTTCTGTGGGTTCCGTTTCCTTAGGCCTACTTGCTTCATTGGCACGAGAGTCATAGTCTCTTCCTTCATCAGAAGTTCGTCGTCTTGGGGAGACATTCTCCTCATCTCGGCCTAGAACTGGCACAAGTACGGCGGCGGCGGCCCCTTTGAGGCCAGCTGTGATTTTATCTCGTGTACGACTTACACTCTCGCGCCGGCCAACACCATCTCTTCGATCTTCCCTCCGATCGTCTCGTCGATCCTCACGTCGATCTTCTCTGCGATCCCGGCTCTCTTCAGTACGGGATCTATAATCATCAGCGGCATCTCGGTCATGTGGACGAAGATGGGCCGGTGGCTCGTCTGGGAGACGTTTCAATTCACGATCAGCTATCTCGTGACGTGGACGACGCTCATCGTAGGCTTGAACAGGGTGGGTGCGATCGAGGGTATCTGTACGTATTCCAAACCCACGGGCTGTAACATTGTCATCACGATAGCCATCATCCCGCTCGCGGCGGTCTTTGCCCACCCGCTCGTCATCGCGGGAACGGTAGATATCATCGGTATGTATGGGGCGGGTAGGGCCATCCTGGTAAAGTGACACAGGACGTGGTCGCGTGGTCCTGTTCTCGCTCGAGGGGCTTCTCGGTGCCTCAAGTAGGGCAGGCCGGCGCGAGGTATCAATGGGCGGCGGCGGAGGAACAGCAGGTGGTGCCGGCATGGTAACCGAAGGACGATCGTATGCGCCTGCCGCTGCCGCACGATTGTATCTCTCAAGACCGCTTGATGCCGGAGGCTTCGCGCGTGGACGGGGTTCGTAGCGCGAAGCATCGTGGCTTACCACGTTGACGTGAGGCCGATAATAAGGACGCTCAGCACTGTCACGTCGAGTCCTTCGGTCTCGATCGTGGTCTAGATCATATCTAACCAGCTCGCTCGGCTTCGTGTACTCATAGTAGTCGTCGTCATAGTCTACTGCCGCCGAGCCGCTGGGATAGACGGGAGTTGCATGATGGGCGGGGTGAGCTGGAGTTGTGTACAGTAGATGGGGTCGAGGGTTGCGGAAATTGTCGGTACTCGTTCTAACAGGGCCCCAAAACCTATCGTCACCAACAGCAGCTCCAGTTCCACTAGTACCAGCGACCCGTTCTCGTAAACGATAAAACTCATCGCCCAGAGGTGCCCCTTGGTGATAGCTATGGCGATTGTGGCTGCGTGAGCGGATCGATGAGGCAGGTTGAACGGCATAGTAGGCATCATCATTAGTGCGGTACGCCTCACGAGCGGGGCTACCGGTTCTCACGCTTCCAGAAGCATGGCTTGTCGGTGCGTGAGACCGAGGATGGTTGGTGGTCACAATGATGGGTTTGCCAGAGTGGGAGTCGGCGGTTGAGGAGCGATGTCGGTTTGATCGGCTTAGGCTTCTCGATACGGGCTCTTTGGTGACGTTATATGTCGTCGTAACGGTAGCGGAGGGCGGAGCTGGGCCGGTCGCAGGCTTGGGCTCATGGCGTCGAGGGGCTGGAGGGTCGTAGCGGGTGGTAGGAGTGGCATGAAGCTCGCCGGTGTATGGTAGGTTGTAGCCAATATTGACGGGCATTGAAGCCCGCGCGGGATTGAAAACAGGGGATCTTCGACCCGAATGACGGGATCGAGGATCGGCCATGGTCGTGGCGTCGTGGGAAGAATTTGTGGACTAGATAGACCGAACAGGAAAAAAAAAGAGATGAAATAACAATAGAAGGCGGGGTAGCTGAGGGAGTATAATGTTAGCTAGAATGTCAAGCAGTTTTGAAATGAGCACAAAGACAAAGTTGGATGTGCGAATGGAAAAATGTGATCAGCTGGAGGGAATTTGGATTTGAGATTTGAGAGTGGGATCTGGTATTTTGGGATTTAGGATTTGGTTGCTTGTTGGCTGACTGGCAAGTGGGACATTGTAGTACGGTAGTGCGCAGTAGTGTAAGTACATAGGTAGAGCTCGTCAGAGATGAGAAGGGTACCGGTATGGATGGAGGTAGGTAGGCAGGACGAGGGTAAGACGAAGATAGGTAGGTCGAGGGGGAGGGGATGAGCGACGAGGGGGGCCGTGGGACGGACGGATGAAGTAGGTGGGGTGTCCGCTTGGACTTGAAATGCGACCTGCTAGCTTCTTCTGCTGCTTCGCTTCCAAGACGGGGTTGATTGATTGATCGATTCTATTTGCCTTTTTCTTACAGTCCCGAGTAGGCAGGGTACTTTGTTCCGCCGAAACGATCCTTCGCGCCAAGTCTATTACCGGTATGTCTGTCTGTTGGGGGCGGTAGAAGAGGGAGAAGAGGGAAGAAAGAAAAGAAAAACGAGTGAGATGGATGTATGCGTGCGTGTGTGGGTAGAGAGAGACAGTGTGTGTTGTTTCCTGTGTGCTTGGAGGCCAAAACTAGAGGCTATGTATGTACATGGACAATAGCTCTTCGAGGTGGTGGTGGGTTTTGTGCTGATGGGTTGTTGTTGTCGTTGTTGTCGTTGTTGTCATGCTCAAATAAATGAAAATGCACATACCTGCACTTTTCTCAGCAGGAAAAAAAAAAAATAAAGTCCTAAACCTTTCAATTTTTTTTTTTAATCAGGCCACAAATGTCAGGGTCCTTCCACCGCGGGGTACACAGCGTGGAATGTGGACTGGCTGACCCGTGGAAACAGAGATTGGCTCTTGATATATATCTTGATATATATCGATGAGTTTGGTATGATATGCGTGGGCGCCGCGCGCAAGCTACTGCCGCTGACACTGCCGTGCCGTGCCGCTGATGGTTCTGCTGCTGCTGAATATTGCTGGTGATGCTGAAGAAGAAGAATGTAAGCCGCCGCCGGGTTCCAAGGATATGCCAAGGCTGTTTATGGTTGGGCTGCAGCCGTCGATGATGGAAAGCTGCCCAGCCGAGAGCCACGAGGGGAGTCTCCTTATTAGGAATAGCCTATAGGTGGATCACGAGTCTCGTTTCTCGTCTCGCGTGGTGGTTACATGTACTGTCTGTCTCTCTCTGACTGCGTGTCCCGCCAGCCGCTATGTGTTCCCGTCGGAGGAGGCAAATCTGTAGGTATGGCGCACTGCAGTCTACGTACACGGTCAATTCTCGATCGGTCCGGGATCGACAATGCGGATGGCTGCTGGCTGATCGTCAGCCTGCTTTCTCACCAAGCTACCTTGTAAACAATGGCCCTTTGTATGTGGGAAGAGAGAGAAATAGTGCCCAACACCAGTGGTGGTGGATTGATTGACTGACAGACAGACGAGCAGGGTAGTGCTCACGTCCGGAAGGAGGATGAAGGTTGGGGAGACAGGAATCAATAGTCACGCATAAATTGCATGAACAAATTGACCAGATGCGGAAATATGGCGCCAAGGATGCGACAAATACAGCCAAATGATTGAGCCGTGGTCCCGGACTCAAAGTGGTGAGAAAGAGGAGGTGGTGGTGAATATGGCGATATCTGGCCGTCGGTGTCCGGGTCCCCCGCACGGCTCGCCGCCGCAGTCCTCGAGACGGCCAGGAGCAGGACGACAATATGATTGAGACGTTTCCAACTTCGATTTCGGTGTAAGGCGTGGTTAACAATCCGACTCGAGTAGCCCGGATGCAAAGCAAGCTACTGTAACAGAAGAGCTCTCACGTCCAAGCAAGGACTTGGGAGGGGAGTGTGTGTGTAAGCCAGGTAAAAGAAAGCCACGAGGTCCGACTAGCACCGTAGGGGTCCAACCATCCACCAGATACTGTACTTAGGTGTTCCGGGTAATATTGTCTCGTCTTTTTTTATATTGTCGCCAAAGGATCCATCCAGCAGCAGGTGGATTCGGTCATGCAGATTCCCTCTCTGTCTCTGTCTCTGTCTCTCGCTCTACATACATGTACTTACAGTAGTGTGCTCCTCTACTAGTACAGTCTGTACATGTAGTGGTGTCTTTGATGCAGCAGGGAGTCTTGGTCATGCATTGCAGGACGGGCAAAATGGTGGGTGGGTGGGGTGGGCGACCAAGTCTGGGAAAGACAGTCTGATACGAGGAACGAGAGACTAAATAACTGGATAATGGGCTGAGTTGGGTGAAATAGCGCCGGGACTGGATCTTTGAGACTGGAAAACTGGTAATACGGAAATGACAAAAGGTGAGCAAGAAGATGTAGAATACGAGAGAGAAGGGTGGGCGAGAGAGAGAAAAGGACGACGATGACGACGGTTATAATGTAGGTATGTATTGAATTATTATTATTATAGGTAACTAACTTGCGAGCCCCGACAGACCACGGACCTCTGGATTGCACGAGATAGAGACAAACACGGGCTGAGGCATTAGCACTTGTTGATTTGTTGGCGTTGACTAGATATTCGTCTAGATACCTCCTGTCTCACATTGGTCTACGAATATATTTACCAACCTAGCCTACTCTAGGTAGTTACGAATGTAGGTATATACAGTAGGTAAGTAGGTGGCTAGGTCTTTGTTGAGGTAGAACGACCTCGAGGGTGAGCTGTGCAATGAATGGGACGGATGATGGATACCAATAATAGAAAATGAAATAAAAGAATAAACCATGTTAGCCAGTGAAGCTGCCACCGGCATCTGGTCCATCACGAGTGCCAAGCAGAGAGCCACGGTCTGCCGCTATGTCCATGTAAGTGATGTAACTACGTCGCTCGTGAAAGATGTAAGTGGAGAGACAAGGGCGGCGATGACGTCCCCCCATGTCTCACCCACGATTCGCAGGTATTCTCATTCAAGCAAGATGCTATTACTAGATATGTTTTTTTTATTGTACATCGCCATATACTGTCTGCCTACCTACCTATGTAGGCAGGTAGGTAGGTAGTAAATACTAATAGAATCAAGAGTATTATCTGTACATATACCTATGGTTGTTCTACCGGTTACCAAGCACATGTAGAAGTAATAAGTGGATATCGGAAAACATAGAGGGGCAAAATAAGCAACAAAAAAAAAAAAAGAATATCGGTATTATCACTTGTTGCGTCAGTGGTCATTTGGCGACTAGGACCCCGGCCAAGTCAGAGAAGGAAGTACGCTAGGTATCATGAAGAGAGCAAGACATGGAGAAGACGTCTAAAAAGGCGGGTCAGGGCCAGGGTTCTTAATTATAGTAGTATCCTTGTATCGTGTAGTCGACCTCAAGCCCATAGGTATATGTGTAGTGTGTGTATTGTTGGTGCCTACGGTTGGTTGCACTATCGACATTTTGTCGTGTGCGTATCTGCGTGTGTTGTTCAAGTTTCAAGGAATGGAATTCGTCGCTGCTCAAATGTTTCACAGTCGACAAAAGTGCCCACTCACAAGGTAACAATCCGCCCTTTTCGGCAAGTTCATCCTCAAATATATATTTAGGTGGCCTAGTCGACAAATCGGTAGTCAACCGAGGCCAATCGGCCAACAGTGCCACGGCGCGGTTTTCTCGACCATTATCCAACAGTTTGTGCCTGACGAGCAAGCCAGCAGCTAGTCGTGACTGATGGCAGCCAGAGGAATACCAAGTATACACTAGGTAGACATCAGATGAGGCGATCACGTCCATCCTCTCGGCCGACAACCGCCAGACCAGTGATATCGGGTTCCCCTGGCCCTGAGAACCCACATGGTTGTCGCCTCGCTGCCACTTTCCCTCCTGCCTACCACGCTCGAGAAGACTGTGGTGTGCGCCTTGGCTCCGTCGTTCTTGTAGAACAAACGGGATCCTCTGGTACCCCAGGCGTCCGTCCAACGGCGACGTGTACCTACCTGCCTACCACTTTTACCTAACTCGACAAGTGACTGTCTCTGTGGGCTCATCTCGCCTCTATCTCAGCCTTAGCTACACAGCTTCTTGTGCTGTACCGAAGCCCCAATTATTCGAAACGGATGGGGTAGCCTGTTGTTGCTGTTGATGTTGCTGTCGCTATTGTTATTATGGTGTTGCTAGCAAACTTACGCGCCGCACGGAGGGTGCTCGTTGGTTGCCTAGCTCTACATTGCATGAATGGAGGCTCGAGCTTGAAGGTTCAGGTCCGGGTGGCTTCTCACAGCGGCGTCTGCCGTACCTATCACATTCCATCATCTGGACACAATAATTGATGGATGTGATATGTATACGCTCAATTAACAAGCTAGCCTGGAAGACAGAGAGAGCTACTTCAACTTTCGTGTACGTGCTCTCTACTGATGCTAATGCTGCAGCATGTCCCAACAACTGCCGCCGTGCCTCTCCATCGACCACCAGGGCCTTCTAGTATGCTGCGAATGAACATAACAACAGATCTGGTGCAGTGCTCCTGGCGCTAAAGCAACTTCGAAATCGGGAATCTTTCGGGCTGCAATGGGTTTTGCCCATCTGGATCCATGGGAACCCAACCTTCGCCTCCCTGTGGCCGTTGGCGTGGGTCCCATCCCTCTTCGTTTCTCATCTCGTCTCGTCTCGACCTGTTATTGGAAACCAACAAGCCTGCTTTCTAAGTACAGCACACGCGTAATCATACTGCTGTCCTGTCTGTATGACAAGCGTTATTCGAGATATACTGCAGTACGTATCTAGCTGCTTGCCGAGCCCTCGTGCCTGAAGCTAGCGCACAGCATCTACATCGTCTGGTCCCGTACGATTGGATTCGCAACTCCTTTCTATCCATTTTCCTATTATGCTATACGGATCCTCGATAAGCCACGCTCCCTCGAATCCCTGCAGCCTCTGCACACATTTCCAACATCTGTTGGTTTCTTCTCTGATCCTGCTGAGATGGGTAGTGAAGCACGGCTTAACCGCCCGATTTCTAGAGATGCCACACGGCTGCTGGAGGAATCGCGACCAATAAGTCTATGGGTCGAGATGACTCTGCAGCAAACTAGTGAGTATGCGACAGTGATACCCAAACGTGCGCCGCGATTGTTTGCGAAGCTGACTATCAGCTGCTGCGATGGTCGGCTTGTCTGTAAGCTGTGCTACTCAACGGTTGGTTTCTAAATACATTCCACAGTAGGCTACAACGGGGCAACGCGACAAAACGAGCTTGGATTCGTTGTTGGCGGTTTGTTTTATTCCTGTAATCTCAGATATGAGTGATATTACTACACTTTGTCGCATACGGCCTTGCCGTTGTCCAACTAGTCAAGGCCTATTCATGACCATCTCTACCCGGATCCATATCTGAGAAGCCATCTTGTAGGTGACCATGCCTTGTCTAGGGTGTGCCTTGTATGTAGTCAACCAGCGGTATAAGCGGGCACGAGGCTGTGAATACTATTAAGAACTCGTGTCATCACCTCTATGGAGAATAACATGGTACCAGCGGACATTCCAGAGCATAGCCTGTTCAAGCAGCACTAGAAAATATTCTGTACATGTTCTGTTTATCCCATAGATTCACATATGATAAGAAGTAGACGCCGAATGTGGGTATGAGTAATCATGACTCTCACGATCCATACGGCCGAAAGGTAAAGTGAGTATAGTTCTTTCCCGACTCGGCATACTCCCTTATTCCATTTGTTCCGCCCCTTACCTCCTACTATGCAGTTCACCGCGAAGGTAGGTATATGTATCTGCATCCGTATATCGGAGACCAATACTTCGATGGCTTAATGTAAGCAATTTTCCGCCTCGGATTTACGCGATCTGATGAACCTATGTATCTGTTTGTCATCATGGCGCGCAACGAAACACATGGAACCCTTCTCACCTCTCATCTCGACAAATCGCTCAAGGACCGCCCCAGCGCCTGTTCGCCTGTTTGTCGTAGTTTATCTCGCGAGTATAGCAAACGGAAGGGCGATCACCAGACATGAGAGGGAATAAGCGGGAATCTGCAACTATCCGTTGCCCATCGCCCGGCCGAGAAGCGGCTCTCAATATACCTACGTAGTGTATATCATGTAGATACAAACCACCGCACACAAATCACCAAAACAGACTAAGCAAGCCACTCGCCGACTCGCCTCTCAAGAAAAGAGGACCTCCCCTCGTGATTTCCTTCCAAAAACCTCCTCCTATACTAAAATAACCATTCTCTAATAGCGATGACTTGTCCATCCACATGTCTCCAACAGGCACGTCTGATAGGCAGGTAGGGCAACTTCAGCATTTCGAAAACAGGGCTGATGATTCGATAGCCTCTCGTAGTCAAGTCACATTACCTTTCAACATACAAGGGTAGGTAGGATAAAACTTTCTTGGTTGATGCCCAAATGTCACAGATAAGTGGATATATTCCGTCGATGTTGCTGTAAGCGTGCACTGCATGGTAGTGTGGCTATTTCTGACCTCCGAGGAGAAAACGAAAAAGGAAGAGGAAAAAAGAAAAATGACAAGAGGAGACGTGAATGACCATGAAGAAGGTAAATTTGTCTGGGATAGCCTGACACGCTGCCTTCGCGAAGTGAGGACACTCAACTCAGGGGCTTCCGAGTCAGATATCTTATTCTAGATCATGAGAGTTTCTACTGGTCTACTCGATTCCTAGATTTTCTAAGTGCAAAATTCCATAAATTTCGGTTCAAAATCGCAATTTGGTTGATGTGAATATCACAGTTAACCTAATGGTTATTTGAGTGGTTCAAGTACTTAGGTAGGCAGTTAACCAAACAAATCACAAGTTTTATATACCATATCTCAAGAACGTCGGGCTAGAGGCTCTCTACAATCTACACTCACACTCCAGCTTAAGGGCAGCGTCCCATTCCTTGGACTCGGTATTAGAAGAATTTCCCTCCTCAACGCTGCAGGGGAAGAGAGAGATTTAGTCGTAGCTTGTTTGTTCCATCACCACGAATACTACCACTACCTAGCTCTAAGGAGTCCTCGCTGATACTGATATACTAGAATCATTTTCTAGTCAAAGTCTTCATGTAAATAAGTCATCCGTTGAAGCTGTGCACACATAGCCAGAATGTAAGGTAAGGCAGGCAGGTAACTAGGAAGAACACAAACCAGTCAATATTTCAGTACGTATAACGTATAAACTCGTGAATCATACAGACCATAGACAGACAATGAATCCATCCCTAGCACTAACGCCCCATTCCCATAAAACAAAAATCGACCCAGAGCACGCCTAACAGGATCTTCATCGCAGCCACAGCTTTACGGCCCAGTTACCTTCATCTAAGCCAATGCACCCATAGGATCCCAGAGCGGTAGAATAATAGGCTCCTTTTTAAGCACATCCCTAACCTCGTTGCTCATGCAGCGCGAATCGATAACAGCCTGATACACGAACTGATCCATCCAGTCATCACTCATGACAAACCACCCTTTATCCCCATTCTCCTGCCCCCACGAGTTCTGCACGCGCCATCTCACGGGATTCCCCGTCTTCTCATCCAGATGGACCGCGGTCAAGACCATAGCGTGCGTCATGGCCGACTCGCCAGCGCGAAGTCTGCCAGCTTTGTCCATGGCGCCAGCAGCGTACATATCGACATTGAAGCCGAGGCCGTAGTCGACTAACCCGAGATCCATGATGCCCGTGCGTCGATCGCTGAATTTGCCGACGTCGCAGCCGAAGAACACGGGGATACCAGCCTTGAGGGTGCGGATGCACGCTGACTTGAGCACGCTCATGTTGACGTTGATGTAAGTGATCCTGCGCCCGCCGACGACGTTCCCGAGGCGATCAACAGTCATCAACGAAAATGGCTCGTGCCGCGGATCGTGCACGAGCGACACCATCTTCTCGATACCTGCGCTCGAGATCCGGTACCCAGTACTAGGCACCGTCGCCGCGATATCCCGCGCAAATTCCCGCGGCGTCTTACGCACCGTGTGCGCAGTACCGTCTTTATCGAGGAAATCCCACTCGAAAACTCCATCACTCGCAGGCGGCGGACCGAGCGTCAGCGTAAGGATGGTGTGAATCTCGCGCATCATCTTCTCCTTGGTAGCTCTCAATATCTCAAGCCTTCGCGCAGAAGAGGAAGACTTCTTCGCGACGATATTCCGCAGGACGAGGGCGAACTCGCGCAGTTTACCCACAACGACATAATTGATCGTACTACTCGTCATCGCGTTCCAACTATCCGGATACAGCACCTGCGGCACAAGACCGTACTTCTCAACGAGGTTATACACCATATCCCACTGACCTCCGTCGCTAACAGGGTCGGAAAGCAGACGCTGTACGAGACGGCCCTCGAGGTCCTCGTCCGCGGTATCGATGATGTTCTCGAGGAAAAAATTGGCTTTCTCCAACTTATCCCAGAAGAACAGATACGCCTGCGACAGCTCGAACGAGTCGAGCCCGTACTTCTGCATCAGCGCGATGCGGAAGACATTGGTGCTCGCGAAGAGCCAGCAACGGCCGGAGGATCTCTGGTTGGTGATGGGTGCGCCCTCGAAGGGGATGCGGACGTTGAAGACTTGTTGGTCTGCGATTTGGGCGAATCGAGACGTTAGCACGTCCTTGGGATTTGCACTGCTAAGAGCGTACAAGGCCAGTCTAGACCACACAACACTTAGTATTAGTCACAAGCCCTTGAACAGGAAGAAAAAACAGTGTATAAACACATGTTTGCTACACACCTGTTCTTGGGGTCTTCGAATAGTTGATCTTGCCAATCCTGCATCACCTCCAGCGCCAGACCCTCCGGGCTTCGCTGGAGCTTCGCGGCGGCAGGCTTCTCGCAATCGACAAGAACGTAATCATCTCCGCTATCTCTCCGATCTTTCTCAGAAAGCCGATCCGCAGCAGCGATGAGAGCCTTTTTGGACTCGCGTTCGCTTCTCTCCTGCTCTAGTGGCTTCGCCGTGGCTATATCAGTGGTCACCCACGAAGGCGCCGTCGCTATCTTCGACTGTTGTGCGCCCATGACGAAATAAAAATAAAATGTGATATTATAAAGATAGCGAAGAATCAATGAATGATTCGCCGAAGTGGTATATATACCTGAGTCTACTTAGAGCGAGCCTTACCTTCCAAGTGACCAACTTCCACAGAATCAGTCGGTACAAGTCCCTTGAAATCAAGAATAAGATGAGTAAAAGCAGGACAGGGCAAAGCAAGAGATGTCCCGTCCAAGAAGGTGTCCGTCCATATGCCGTAACATTAAACCTACTGACCTACCTACTTATCCTCGGTACAAATGCCCAGGTACTGATAAGGACGAACGAGGGGCGGGTTGTAGCTCTTGATTGGTGCAGAGATCTAGAGCTCCTACGCCCATTTCCCCTCATGAGAGCGGGCCATTGGATAAACCATACAAGGTTAAGTACCTTGATGGTTAAACTTGAGCAGATGGCAAGTTTTGACCAACGTACCTACTTAAGGAGGCAAGTCGAGTTCTCACCCAATAGCTAATTGGACGTTAGAAGCTGCGCTTGTATCGAAGGGGCAGTCCGCCGAAGCGATGCAGCAAACATTAACGACAACACACCAATTCCATAACAGTATAAAGGATCAATGCAGACGGGGTCGAAGCTGATATGCAAACCTCACAAGTATAATACAGATGAAAAGAGACGATATATGCATAAATCCATGATACCAACATTGTATTACCAACGATATACAGAGCTATCTAACTTGATATGCTACCATGAGATCAACGACCCTTTTACAACATCTTCCCTTCAATACATAAATGTCGCGCATCATCGCACAACCACGCTAGTAAAGGCGTGCCCCAGTATCACCACAACAGGCTAAGGTCGAATGAGCTGTATAAAAGCCATTCATCATTAAGGGCGACAAAAGAGAAATACGTTTACAAGCGAGAGCCGTGAACAACCTTGACGTCAACGACGAGCTCGTTACCGTGGTCGTTAAGGACAAGGACGCGGACGCTGCCGTGACCCTGGTTGAAGGCAGAGGACAGACGAGAGTAGAGTCCGGACTGGTCAATGACAGGGAGACCAGTCTTGACATCACCAGACTCAGTCATGGCGGTGACGCTGCCGTTCTGAATGTCAAGCACACGGTACTGCTTGAAGACGGGGCCAAGCATGGTCTGGACAACAACGCTGGGAGCGGGGTTGGAGACGAAGGAAGACTCCTCGTGGAGCTGCTTGCTGAACAGGTCAACACCGAGGTAACGGTGCTGGCCAGTAGCGGACGAGGTGGAGATACGGATGACCTGGCAGGGGCGGCCCTGGAGCATCAGGATGTCACCCATGCGGATGTGGTGGCAAGGAATGGTGACCGTGTTGGGGATGGCATTGCTACCGCCAGAGCGAGGGGCAGGAGCAGGAGCAGAGTGAGAGTGAGTCTCGCGGATCACCTCAACGCGCTCGCCTTCAGGGTGGAAAATACGGTCAGCCACCTTGTGCAATCCATGGCGGAAGGAGTGGTAGTGTCCTATTCAACCAATTGAATCAGCTGAGGAGCACTATTAGGGAAAGGGCTGGGGACATTTGTTACTCACCGTCCTCGTCGTAGTAACCCATTCTGGATTTTTGGTAAGCGGATGTGTGGCGGGGTTGAAGGACAGTTTCTTCAGTAACCTTCACGTCCTTGTAGGATGAAGGGGCAGTCTTGTGAGGAACGTCGACGGTTTCTTCAGTGAAAGAGACCTGGTCGGCGTAGTGAGGGACGTGAGCAGGAGCGGCGTCTACGGTAGCACCGGTTACAGTGACGTGTTCGCCGAACTGGGGGCGGTGAGTAGGAGTGTCAACGGTTTGGCCGGTGACGCGGGTATCCTCTCGGTAGACAGAAGGCTGAATACGAGAACGGTATTCTTGCTCAATACGGTCAATAGCAGAGTAATGGGGCTTGTGCTTGTGGTCAACCTGAATGGAAGACTCAGAGTAGGTGGAAGGTTCGTAGTGAGCCTTGTGGTGGTGATGGGGGCGGGGAGCCTGAGAGTAGGAGTTGTCCTGAGTGTAGGTGTTGTGAGTCTCGTGGAAGGAGGTTACGTTGGCAGGTCTGTGGCTGAAGCAAGGTCAGTCAAAATGTTTTCCGAACGAAATGATTGTTTACATCAGGTTCTGCACTAGACTCCATCCTATCCTAGTCAAATGATGGGTCACAGCCAAAGGAAATTTGCTAGCCAGGGGTCAAGATGGGGCGAGCCGAAATGGGCTGTGCCCAGGTTGACAGTGCGAACTGGCCTGGGCTGACCACGTCACGACGGACATCTTGGCGGTCTAGCTCATAATTTCTCCCACCCCTAACATGAGCTCTTCATTCGCGCAAATTCGCCGTGTTGACGCTCATATTCGACGCGAGAAACATGGTTATGTTTTCCGCTCAAAGAGCCGCAATTGACAATTGAACAATTGGAAAATAGAGACGACATTAGGAAAAGGGCTTCGCGCTTACAGGTGCTCCTCGTAGTACTCGCGGTGGACACCGGGACGGCGGTAACGTTCTTCTTCACGTGTAATACGGACCTCTTCTTCACTGTAGCGCTCCTGTCGTCGCGGGGGCAGCTGAGCAGAGGCGGAGATAGAAGAGTATTGACCTTCCCGTCCGGCTTTCTCGGGTTTGGCGGGAAGTTTGATCTCAAGCTCTTCGTGAGTCTCGGTGGTCTTGGTCTGGGCCGAAGCCTCGGCGGCTTCCTTGTAGGTACGGGGGAAGATGCTGAAGGGCACGGGAACGCGGGCTTCAAAGTCCAGGTTGACGACCTTTACGGCGCAAGAATCCTCTTCCCGACAACGGAGTCAAGAAGATTCCTCTTGCTCTTCTTTCTAGGTATCTGAAAGAAAAGAAGGGAGGTGAAGAAGCAGCGGATACTGTCGCTCACTTCTAGACTCGATTCTTTCTGGCAGATGGGACTGAAATAGAAGAGCGGGTTGGGTAGAGAGTGGTGGTTGGGCTGGAGATGGAAAAGATCAAGTAGGAGAAAAGGAGGTGAAGGGGCAGAGGCGGCTATTGGCGAGCAAGAAATAGGAACTCGAGCAGGCTGGACCGGGGGGTGATGCAGCGCGATGCAGAGGGCTGGGAGTCGTCGTGGGTTGGCTGGGCAAAGATGGGAGAGCTGGGGTTGGTGGTCCAAGTGTGTCCAAGTGTGTCCAATGTACCCAGTTCTGCGCAGGGAGCAGCTGTTGTGAGAGGGCGTTGAAGCCGAATTGCAGAATTGCAGGGGCTGTATGGAACCATCGTGTGTTTACACGGGTGGGCCGGCCCAGGCGGTCTGTTTATCTTGAAGCCAAAGGGGGTTAGAGCATCTTATAGCGCCTACCTACACTACCTAGGTAGGTACCTTAGGTAGTGCTGGGGCGGGTCTTTGCCCCCTACCAGAGCCCTACCTAACACTGCTGCGATTATTACCTAGGCACACCTAGCAGAGACAGGTAGGTAGGTTCTGCTAGGTCTCTATCCGGACCACTACCTATGACGGCTACTGAGGGTGCACTATTCCCAGGGGACCCAGCCTCGCCAGCTAGGTACCTACCATTGGACCCAAAACTCAATCAAGCCCCCTGAATGCAAGCTACCTTTTTAGGGCGTGATAGTGCTTCGTCTAACTTCCTTGTTCCTACCTCACTAGTACTAACTCGGCGATGAGGAGCTCCGGTTTTCTCCACCTCGCGCAGCTCCCTGGCAGCACCCAACCACCGCAAATTGACACTTTCCAGCTGTTGTCCTACTGAGCGCAAAAGTACCTACCGAGGATTCACAGGAGAGATGAATGGAAGTGAGGCGGTCCTGAGAATTGGTATTACACGTAATGAGCTCTCGACTGACGGTTCTTCCTACTGTTTGCATGTGGACAATTGCTATTAACACGGTGTATCCAAGTACTATCATGCATGGGATTGCGCAATGGACATGAGCTCCTCTCCCACTTGCTTGGGCGGAAGCCTCCCCCGGCTTGGTGTACCACACGTACAGTAGAGACTACAGTATGCGCATGATCTTACACTGTATGTATAGGTCAGGTCGCGTTGAGCGTCGATGAGAGACTTTGTCGCATCCATTTCCACTGGTCCAATCAATCTGAGTCGCATACTGTAATACCTACGACGCTCGCTCACACCATTGATTGATCAGGGCTGCTAAAGCTAGGTACTGCCTACTACCTAGGTAATAACTCCGGTTCCCGGGCTTTGGCGCCAACCGAAACGCTTCGAATTAGTCGCCTGCTACAGTTCAGTCGTTACAGCACAAACACGCTATAGCCAATGGCAGTTCAGCGCCTCTTGATGCTGTGAACACAAGAAAATCAAGAGGCTGGAGCTTGGAGATCTATACTACAAACTGAAAGACGTTACCTACAGTACGGTTGTGCGTGGCTGGGAGCGTTTGCATTACTGCCCCCAGATCCTTTCGCATGGAGGTGGCTGGGGAACACCTAACATCTCACCAGATACTGACGACTCTGCTGACGTCCTGCCGCCTGTCTTAAAGCATTCCCTCTGGATGCTGTACATCGTGGTCCGCTGTCATTGGGTCGTGTATCACAACTTATGCAAGCCTACGGCTTTGGTGCGTGTGTGGTGTCGTACCGATGTAAGCTGAACCATGCTCTCTTTCAATCTGATCGACACTGTGCGCAGGCATGCATTACAACAGCCAATTCAAGTTCTTTCTATTACCTTACTTGTTCTACACTATAATAATAGCGTCGATGACCTTCAATGCCATTCTGAAAGGTTGGCCAGTCCTCGATTGTCCAGCCAACTTCAATCGCCTCGGCCCATCCGACTGGAGCTTGAACAAAAACACACCAAGCGGAATAACCCCTGCAGTTTGAAGAGCTTTCGGGTTCCCCTGATCGCCAGTATCCACACGTTACCATGACAACCTCGGCCCAGACACGCGCTACCGTTCGCGATCCGTTGTGGAGAAATCGCATCTCGCAATTTGACTTGCCAGCACAAACAAGAACAACACCATCACATGTTGACTACCCACCAGATTCGTGCCTAGGTAGCATTGTATTCCGCGATTCCAGATACCTAGGCAGCTAGAGACGGCTAGGGACTACCAGCACATTCAGCAATGCCAGAGGTTGAAGACAGTTACGTAATATTGCTATGGGATTTGGCCCGGCATTAGCAGGTAAATCGTAACAGGTACGTACGTAAAAAGCATAGGTAAGTAGGTATGCCAGAAGATCAATACATCAAAACCTACCGCTAGGTGAACATATCAGCATTACCTATGTAGTAGGTAAGTGTATAGCATGAGCCACCGTAAAGATTATAGGCAGGACATAAAAACAGCTTGGAAATCTCCCGATTCCATGCTACGGCAGCTGAAGTATATTAGCTCTCATGATCGTTACGCTTCTCTTGGGGGATTATGTGCTAGCGAAGCGATCCTGCTAACGGTTTATACCAGACACCCATTGACAAGTAGATAGATGCACATGTCTGTAAGAGACGCGTATTTCAGCTAAAACAATAGTTAATATACCTTGTTATAACTTCTAGCTGCCCACAGCAGACAATCCAACACGATTAGCTAGATATTTATTTGAGTAACTCGAGACTATTCTCAAGAACTGCATAATATCAAGCTAGTCGTAACAGTCCATCATACTCGGAGCCTGAATGCTTCATGGGCCATAGGATCATTGAGCATCTACCGATACAAGCCCAGCAGCTTCAGGACAAGGCGTGTGAAGCATGCCATTTCTTATTAGCTAGTTAAAGTAAGAGATAATCGTTATAACTGGTCACATGGCACTCGCAGAATACACACCTGGTCCACAATCAAGATGTAGTTTTGATCTCCAGTTGCCCAAGGTTTTGAGCATTTGGTTGCTTTTGAGTAAGTTCTATATACCTAACCCTGTCACACGTCTCGTCCCATGATCTGGACTTCCAGTACTGCTCTGCTCACTAGCAAACATCCGGGACCACTTGACCATGTGTACACCAAATCTCTTCGACCTCTTGACCTCCAATGCAATTTTTAACTATCTTCTCTCCAGTGTGATGTTCAGATCTGGCCGATTCCTATACGTACCGCCCTGCCGCGCTGTGTATATTTAAATAGACCATGATGTTGATATATCTAAATTGCTAACTTAGTACAAAGTTTCATATTACCATGAAGCTCTTTACGCTTGTAGTTACTATTATGATGTTCTAGTAGAACACTCGCAGCTGAAGCAATGCCATGAATCGGCTCGGAATGTACGGCCCCATACAAGGTATGAAATGAACTATTTGCCTTAGCTAATTGCTAGGGTTTCATATATTGAATTGATATGATTACATATATATCTTGCTCTACTCTGTACTGATAATGTCATCATTTCTTATATGGCGTTTTTGGAATATTGCAATCTTTATTGATAGGGACTCGTCTAGAGCTGACTAAATTTAGTAGTACTGTATATATTGCATCCCCAAGCTATATCATTTACAGCAAGTGTAACACATGTATCCTGTTCTCGTAGCAATAGAACATGAGACCATGGCTGACACTCGGACGTGTTTAGTCATAAGAGTGTGAACGCTTTCAGGTCATATTTATAACATTGAGCACTAGCCGATGAATAAAGAGATTCTACTCGTAATAGTAAGAATATAGTCTCTTAACTTCTATCTTACTTCGATAGGAGACTACCTTAGGAATAAGGAGTTTGACATATATTAGTAAGAACAAGGTCCTTATAGGAAATGGTAACGGTTAGCAAGCTACAAGTAGTCTGAAGTCTTCGTTTTACTGCAGCGCAGCTTGCTTCTCGTCAATTAACTACATGTAACATGCTCTAGGTGGTTATATATCGTTTTAACTGCATAGTATTTACCTTTATAATGTAGTTTGTTCTCATGATGAGTGAACGGTTAAGTTTCAGCTTACAAGAGTGGGCATAAGGGTAGGGAATCATCTAGCCGGCTGCCATTTACCATAAATGTAAGGTTTAATGGCTTCGCAAATCGTGAGCTGAGATTCGATATAAACTTACGAGAGTAACCTCCATACTATAGGTATTCTCCATTTGGTCTTCTCGTACCCAACCTCCCTTAACCACCTTCTGTGATTACATATCTAGGAAGAATGATCGCTCATATGCTGTATGCGCATCTCAAACTAATGTTAAACGACACATCCATCCCTCATACCTCATTATATGCTGGTCCGCCAGTTACAAGATAAGTAGGTAATATTTTGTCGTTATGAATCACTCGGCGAGATCGGATGACGTCAGCTGTAAAGCTTCCATTCTACCCAATGACATATCTCAAATGTCTACCCCACCATTTTGACTGTTGCCAGGCCTTGGCATCTCGCAACCTCACATGTTGCTTTGCTCATATTTATTCTCGTGGCTACCGCTCTTATGCCAGCCATCAGTCGCACATTCCACTTGTGCTGTGGTATCGTACAGGGCTATAGAAGTGGTTGAGCGACAAAGCCGACACAATGAAGCAAAGGTTTTCCTCCCTTGACGTCAAGGTATGAGACCCCTCACTAGCTCCTTTACAGTACCCCTCCAAGAAATAGTGCCTGGCGATGCGATGGCTATCAAGACGACTAATATGCGACACCTGTTCTCTGCTCTAGGCCATCGCCCATGAACTTTCGGCTAGCCTCGTCTCTTTGCGCGTATCCAACATCTATGACCTGTCGTCTAAGATCCTCCTTTTGAAGTTTGCCAAGCCTGGCGTCAAAAAGCAGCTCCTGGTAGACTCTGGGTTCCGATGCCATTTGACCGAATTCTCACGCACGACCGCTGCCTCACCCTCCGTTTTCGTACAGAAGTTGCGGAAGGTCTTGAAAACCCGACGTCTCACCGCTGTTTCGCAGATAGGAACCGACCGAATAATAGAGTTTCAATTCAGCGACGGGCTATATAGGATATACCTCGAGTTTTTCGCCGGTGGAAACGTTATCCTAACTGACAACGAACTGAAGATCCTAACTCTTCTGCGCAATGTATCCGAAGGCGAAGGACAAGAGCCACAGCGTGCGGGTTTGACATACTCGCTGGAGAATAGGCAGAACTATGGTGGCATCCCGCCGCTTACCAAGGACCGTCTCCGAGCATCCCTACAGACGATAATCGAGAGAAATGCAGCTTCAGCTAAAACTGCGAAAAAGATCAAAAAGAAGCCCGGTGATGAGCTAAGGAAAGGCCTGGCCGTCACAATAAATGAGCTACCTCCGGTACTGTTGGATCATGCGATGAAGGTAACCGGATTTGACTCTACTGTACAACCTGCAGCCGTTGTCGACAGCGAGCAGTTATTAGACCAGCTCCTCCTGTCTCTTCAGACCGGCCGGGATCTTGTGCAGGATATCATCAGCTCAGACACATGCAAGGGTTATATATTTGCGAAAAAGCGACCAGGGGCCGAGGATCTTCTAGACGGTTCAACACAAGACGAACAACAACCACCGAGAAAGGGATTATTGTACGAAGATTTTCACCCCTTCTTACCCCGCCAGTTCGAAGAAGACCCTGCATATTCTGTCCTCGAATTTGATAGCTTTGGTAACACGGTAGATGAATTCTTTTCATCAATCGAAGGGCAAAAGCTCGAATCACGTTTGACTGAACGGGAGGCAGCCGCCAGGCGAAAGTTAGAGGCTGCTAAAGCCGACCAGGAAAAGAGGATCGAGGGTCTACAAGCAGTCCAGACTTTGAATGTTCGCAAAGCAAGTGCCATAGAAGCCAATGTCGAAAGAGTTCAAGAGGCCATGGATGCTGTGAATGGATTGGTATTCCAGGGTATGGACTGGGAAGACATTGGAAAACTGATCGAGAGGGAAAGGCGACTGAACAATCCTGTGGCGTCTATTATAAAGCTCCCTCTCAAGCTTCATGAGAACACTATTACAGTTTTGCTTGGTGAAGCTGAGGAAGACGAAGATGATTCGGATGAAGCGGACGAATCGGACGCTTCCGATGATTCGGATAGCGGTTTGGGGGGCAGCGTCAATTCAAACTTGAAGGGTCAAGATAAGCGACTGGTCGTGGATATCAACCTGGGGATAAGTCCATACGGCAATGCTCGAGAGTATTACGGTGAAAGGAAAGTAGCTGCGGTTAAGGAGGAGAAAACTAAACAGCAGTCTGAGATGGCTCTCAAAAGTGCTAGCCAGAAAATCGAAGCCGAGTTACGAAAGGGGCTTAAACAAGAAAAGCCAGTTCTCCAGCCCATCCGCCGACAGATGTGGTTCGAAAAATTCATCTGGTTCTTGTCTACAGACGGTTATCTTGTGCTCGGTGGTAAGGATGCTCAACAAAACGAGATGCTTTATAGGCGATACCTGAAGAAGGGGGATATCTACGTGCATGCCGATCTTCATGGTGCAGCAAGTGTTATCATCAAGAATAATCCGAGTACACCTGACGCTCCTATACCCCCGTCGACACTATCTCAAGCTGGGTCTGTTTCAGTTTGTTCATCTTCTGCTTGGGATTCAAAAGCTTCGATGTCGGCATGGTGGGTTACGGCAGACCAAGTATCGAAATCCGCGCCAACAGGTGAATTTTTACCTACAGGATCCTTCATGGTCCGAGGAAAGAAGAACTTCTTACCTGCCAGTCAACTCGTGATGGGATTTGCCTTAATGTTCAAGGTCAGCGAGGAGAGTAAGCCGAAACATGTCAAGCATCGTCTCTACGATACACCAGTGCAGCCTGAGGGTCCATCGGAAGCTCCGGCAGCAATTACTGACACTCAGCACTCCGGCGACGTGCCTGCTCAAGGAGATGGGATACATGAGGATAACGATTCCGAAGAAAGCGCGGCCGAAGATGAGGACTTCAAGCCAAGAGCAAACCCTCTCCAGTCATTGGGCGGCAACGAAGAGGATGGCGGGCATCTGGACACTATAGACGAGGCAGAACCATCAGAGCAGCTTAGCGGCTTGGCTATCTCGGACGAAGCCCCGGCTTCTAAGCCATCTGAGCTCAATCGGGATTTAGAACAAGATGAGCAACCTACGGAAAACAGTGATGCCATCACAGAACCAGATACGCCAGCGACAAGCAGTGCTGTTCAGGATCGTTCGTTTAATGCTGGCCAATCTACTCAACCTAGACAAAAGCAGCGACAGCCAAAGCGAGGCCAACGTGGTAAGGCGAAAAAGATTGCGGCCAAGTATAGAGACCAGGATGAGGAAGATCGCGCTGCCATAGAAGAACTCATTGGATCGACTACTGGACAACGGCGAGCAGAGGCCGAGGCGAAAGCTAAAGCAGAACGAGAAGCTGCTTCAGAAGCTGCTCGGCAACGCCGTCGTGCCCAGCACCAGCGAGAGCAACGAGAGATGGCAGAGCACGAAGAAGTGCGCAAGATTATGCTGGACGAAGGTATTGAAACGCTCGACCCAGACGAGGTTGCGAATCTCTCGCCACTCGACGCCCTCGTCGGTACTCCTCTCCCGGGCGATGAGATTCTCGAAGTCGTGGCACTCTGTGCGCCATATGCTGCGCTCGGTCGCTATAAATACAAGGTCAAACTACAACCAGGGACACAGAAGAAGGGGAAAGCCGTGAAAGAGATATTAGAGGGATGGAAAGCGGCCTCGAACAAGAAGGGCGTCATCGACGAGAGGAGCGCGGATAAAGAACGTATGTGGCCGCGGGAGGTTGAGCTTATCAAGTCCATCAAGCCTGAAGATGTCATTAATACCGTGCCCCTCAAGAGCTTGAAGGTTATGTCGAGTGGTGGCGCCAGTGGAAGTGGTAAAGGAGGTGGTGGTAAAGGAAGCAAAAAGAAATAATGTATCATATCGTCTCGACTATGATGGCTGTCGAGGGCACATGTGATACATATTTCTAGTTAAAGCGTTCTTAATGCTTACTATGTTGGCTAGTAGGAAATACACTTGAAGTCTATGTAGTGGATTCATTCTGTCTACACTATATAATAACCATTGAAAGAAAACAACTGGCAAGAGGAAAAGATATAATATCGCTATACGGTGATATAAACGCATATAGCTGACTTACTAAAAAAAAAAAAAAACTGCGCCGGTAAACCCATCACACCATCTTTACTTATCAATCTCAGTTTACGGTTGCCGCTCTCCTTTTCTTTCTTTGTTCATTCTTATAGTAACTCACGCATTCATCGACTTACTCAGATCCAATTGCTCTGCAACTGTTTCGCAATGCTGTCGCGCTGACGACACGGGACACACCTCCCTGTATCATTCAATTCATCACAGTAACACGCTTGAACAGCACAAGAGTATCGGCGCTCGGGGACTTTGACGGAGACCAACACGGGCGAGTGCATCTTCTCGAAAGTCGCGGAGCGGCACTCCTGCTCGATAAATGTCTCGGAGGGAAGACCTCGTTCTCGAAAGAATAAGCCGCGACACGCCGTGCAGTCAGCGTCGGGGTCCCCTCTCCCTTTGTTGGGATGGTGCGGGCAGTCCGATGCCGAGGGCACTAGGACTCCGTTGAGACGGAGCGGCGGAGGAACGACGACGCGTTTATGGGACCGCGAATGAAGGACGTGGGCTGAGGCACCGGTGGGTGAGGACGGGTCTTCCTGCGTGGTGACGAAGTAGGACTTGGGGGATGTTGCAAAGGCGCCGTTATGTCTGGCACTATGCGGTTCGCTCATCTTCGGCCTCCGTCCTGGAGCCAGTGGCCCTGGAACGGTGTTGTTAGCGATGGCCATGTCGGTAGGGCTGTAAAGACCTGTAGTAGTAAACTGTTTCGGAGTACGCGGGGTGCTAGGGGGTGTGGGAGTGCGTGGTTCGCCTGGTGGAGGGGTTAATTCCCGTGGCACGAGTTTTCCGTCGATTTCGTCCCAGTCGAGGTTTGGAATTACGAGCTTCCTGGCTGCCTTAGTGAGCCTCTTCACGAGACTACAGTCCGAAACACTCCCGGGATTGCGAAGTCTCCGCGGGATTTTGTAATGCTTGGGCTGAGGGTGTTGGAGTTCCGGGCGACGATTGTGTCGCCGCTTACCTCTCCGCTTGTCTCGGGCGAGGTGTGCTAGTTCGGGGACCATGCCGAAGTCTAGCGGTAGTCTGGTGCTGTCATATATGGGCTCGGGGTCCGGCGTGAACACACGCGGTTTCTCTACGTGGCCGGTGTTGCCATCTTCGTCTTCGAAATCCCCTACTACAAATGGACTCGGGTCAGCCGGCAAGGGTTTGTTTATGTTTGGCACATACGATGGGTCTGAGCGCTGGGCTTTAGCACCACTTACCTTTGGCACAAAGGCTGCTTTCAAAGACGATATCACGGTATCGACGCTGCCCTCGCTAGGGCTTGGAGGCATGGGCTGGTGTACAAAAGGTGTGCCATGACGTCTTATAGGAGGCCTGTCGATCTCTGCTACCATAGGTTGATGAACTTGAAATGGTTGACCCCTTGCTCGCGGCTGTCCATCGCTGCGAGATGATAGTTGAGGCGGCGCAGATTGTCGTTTGAGTAGGACTTCGCGCGGGACGGTACGTGGATCAATGGCGGTCTTACCCCAACCTTTGCTCTCCTTGTACTCGAGGAAGAGCTGGATGAACTTCTTGTATTGCTCCTCGCCGTACTTTTCGTGGAAATAATCTCCGCAATCGCGGCAGACGCGCTTGAGACGATGTTTGAGAACTGTGGTACGACAGTTCGGAAAACACCAGGCCCAGAAGGATCCTTGATCCCGGAGCTGGTAGATATGGCAACGTTCTACTCTTCGCTCTTTATGTCGACATTGACAGAGGTACGTGGTTTTCGTGCACCCACACATCTTGTTAGAGAGGAACGTATGTGTATAAGTGAAGACCTAGGAAAGATGAAAACTTATGCGCTTTTTCTCTCTCCTAGGTAGTTAGTTGATCCCGTCAACTTACTGCTTCACTTAGTAAAATGATTTTCGAGAAGGAGAAGAAGATGGCGATTAGGGTAGAGCAAGGCAATTATGTACTTTACGGATCAGACTATACCATTGTTCACGATGGATAAGGAGTCATGGATAGGGCGTTTCTGTTCATTCATTACAATGTTGAGGTCTTTTATCTGTTTGTAAGCTTAACACGAACAATATTCTTTCATGGTGATTTTCAGGATATGTTGGTCGTCTTTGCCAATCCATGATTGTCTTTGCCTGACCTCTTTGTCGTTGGATGAGAATGATATTATGTCCAAGGCTTTGTTGAGGCCATGAATGACGATGTCATCATAAATGAGATCTACTCAAAGCTAACTAGTAGGTTTTTATTAGTACCTACCTAAGTAATCACTTACTATACAACATGTGAAGTATCTAGGCAGCAAACGGCAGTGCGATGCGATAGCTGACTTGGTAGTGAACAGCAATTTGACCATCTTGAGGCTGTGCACTTGATTTACTCACATCTTGACTGCGGCGGTTGAGTCACTCGGTGTTTACCGCTTAGTGCTGAATAAAAGCAAATGACTAAGCCAGGTAGCTTGTAGTAGGTAGGTAGTACATCGGCGCGGGCCATCTTTCGTCATAAGAACTTTAGGTAGTCTTCGTCACAGAAATCTGCATGTGCATGTGCATTTATTTACTTACTTTTTCATTCTCTTGTTTATTCTTCTTTACACATACACTCATTCCCTCGAGCCTGCCGTAACCCCTTTACAGTTGAAGAATGGCGCCGACTGCTGATAAAAAGGCAGACGACCTCTTGAGGCGGCCCCTCTACGGTACCTACCAACTTCTTCTACCCTTGTCGCAAGAGCATCACTAATACCAAACCCCGCCATCCGCAGTCTACGATTTGCCCCACGAAGTCCTCTCAACCCTCACACTCAAAGCCGACGCCGAGTCGCACGATCTCGACCTTGGCACCGAGTCATCGGCGCCGTCTAGTCATTCGTCACAAGACCCAGCGCAAAACGCATCTGCCGGGACCCTCGTCGTCGGATCGCAAGCATGCTCGCTCTGCGGCCTGTCGTTTGCGAGCGTCGACGACCAGCGCAGCCATCAGAAGTCCGATTGGCACCACTACAATCTAAAGCTGAAGCTACGAGGATCCAAACCCGTCTCTGAAGTCGAATTTGAAAAGCTGATCGGTAATCTGGACGAGAGTCTGTCGGGATCCGAGTCCTCTGAATCCGATGACGACGAAGACGACCAGAATTCCAAGGAGAGCACCTTGACTGCCTTGCTGAAGAAGCAGGCCACAATCGCGGATCGAAATGCCCGCCAGAACGGCGCAGACGCAGGCGCAGACGAGGAAGATGATGACTCAAACAGAAAAAGACAAAGAGGAAGCGGTAAACCGCCATTGCTGTGGTTTAGTTCCCCCTTACTGCCGACGAACAACTACTTTGGCATCTACCGTACAATATTCTCATCAGAAGACTTGAAGGACGAGTCCAAAATCGCCAAGGTTATAAAAGAAAAACAGCTAGCTCCGATTACAATACCAAAGCCGAAGGCAGATGGAAGCCTTGCGCCTCAAGCATATAAAGGACCACATATCTTTATGTGCATGATCGGCGGTGGCCATTTCGCTGCGATGGTGGTGTCACTCGCACCCAGACAGACAAAACATGGTACAGTTGGTCCTATGAATAGGGAGGCAACGGTCCTCGCACACAAGACTTTCCATCGGTATACCACGAGAAGGAAACAAGGTGGTTCCCAATCAGCCAATGATAATGCTAAAGGGAACGCGCACTCTGCCGGCTCTAGCATTCGTCGGTACAACGAGCAAGCTCTCACAGACGAAGTTCGCCTCCTCCTACAAGACTGGAAAGGTCTCCTTGATACCGCGGAGCTTCTCTTCATCCGCGCGACGGGTGCCACAAACCGGAGGACTCTCTTCGGCCCTTACGAAGGCCAAGTTTTACGAGCGAATGACCCACGTATTCGGGGATTCCCATTCAGCACGCGGCGAGCCACCCAGAACGAGTTGATGCGCTCCTTCATAGAGCTCACCCGGCTTAAAGTTAGAGAGATCGATCCTACGCAAACAACAAAGCCTGCGCAGGAACCACCCACCAAGGCAGTACCAGCAAAATTAAGCAAACCGGCAGCTCCAAAGCTGACAGAGGAAGAAGAGACGGCACAGTTGCACACATCCCAACTTCAAGCGTTTATCCGGCGTTCCAAGCTCCCCGCTCTTCTCACCTACCTTAAGAGCAACGAGTTACCACCAAACTACCGCTTTCAGCCGGCCGACTCGCAACAAAATCACCACGCGCCAACGCCGCTTCATCTAGCAGCAAGCCAGAACTCGGCAGCCCTTGTCTCGGGATTACTCCTCAAAGCAGGCGCAGACCCAACGCTGCAAAGCAACGAGGGCAAAACACCCTTCGACCTCGCTGGCGATCGCGCAACCCGCGACGCATTCCGGGTAGCGCGCGATGAGCTGGGGGAGTCGGCGTGGGATTGGGAAGGAGCACATGTCCCTGCGGCCCTGAAGCGTGTCGACGCAGAGCGGCGCGAGGAGCGCGAGCGCAACGAGGCTGGACGCAAGGAAGCGGAACGCCGAGCGGCTGAAGAGGTCCGGTTGCAGCGCGAGGGACCTAAAGTGGGAGATGTGAAGAAGACGGGGAAGAGCATCCTTGATGCCGGCGTGCCCCGGTCCGCGCAGGATCGCCGCGAGGAAGAGGCGAGGGGACTCACACCGGAACAGCGCTTGAAGCTGGATCGCGAGCGCAGGGCGCGGGCGGCGGAAGAGCGGCTCAGGAGGATGCGATAGGGGCTAAAGGATTAGGATGAATGGGTTGTTTCCCTGCCTTGACGGGGTACCTATTAATTAGTTGATCCTATTGCCGATCTGGTCAACACTACTATTACAACGAATCTAACTACCTATGTACATACACATATAGCCGCTTCTTACGCGACACTTAGTATACGTGTTCAGCATAGCGAAGATACCTACCTACATTTACATACTTAAGTGCGCATTTAAACCAGAAATAGAAAAGCAAGAAAAAACGCTATATATCCACTCTACCTACTTGCGAGCGAGCTGAATAGGCGCGCGGTGAACTGCATTGGGTATATACCAGACGATTGCGGTGATGATTTTCTCTTCTGTAGCTCTTAAGCGCTTGACTATAACGGTGACGATCTCTTCCTATTTACGCATAGCTGTTTAGCGCCCGCCAGCCGGGGGGGGGGGGGGGGGGGGGGGGGGGGGGGGGGGGGGGGGGGGGCGGGGGGGGGGGGC